CTTACACTTCTTAAGCACAGGCGCATCCTCGATCACAAATGGAAATGGTACACGGCCGGCATTTTCAGCCTATGCTGCGGGTTTACTAGGTAGATGCCTAGTTGCCTTTCAAAGGCCTTCAGTTCCTTGTCTGATTCTATGCAGACTATTGATTCAATAGCAGCCTATTCTCTGCTCGTGGCTATCTTAAATCTTAACCATTGATTCAATTGGGCAAAGAACAATCTATTCGTGCCATTCAACCTCCTACCATTCAGTCAGTTGCTCTTTTTCGGTATCGGCAGCATGAACAGCTGATTCGTGAACAGGAGATGCGAAGACACCACAATCGCCAGTCCAAAAGAATTGATCCGCTTCAAGAGTTAGCCCACCTCAAGGCCGAAGTCAAAGCTTTCTTCTAGCTTCTAGGTTTAAGTAGAAGGTGTCAAAGCGATATGACACAGAAGTTGAAGTTCGCTATGTTAACCATGGGTTCAGGCGAAGATAGCAAGTGTGAAGCGAGAATGGTCTTTCTCTTTAGGTTGGAATCAGGATCTATATCTATATGTTTTAAGCTTAAAGTCGTCTTGTTATCAATAGAAACTAGGAGTCTGCGCTCGCCCATCTCTTTTTATTGATTCTCGCTAAAGGATCGGGTACTTTGATTGGTATTAAAGTCAAGTGTTCTATTCCTTCGATCAGCGTCTGGGAGAAGACGACCCGACTGCAGACGGCAGATGGCGAAGAGCCGGGGCAAAGACCCTCTTTATTGGCTAGCGGAGCATGCCCTTCCGGCGTGGGTGTGCTGTCGAGTAATGGTCTTTCTTATCGATTACAAGGCAGGCCGGAGGTCGACTACCCAGCAAAAAAGATTTTATATTATGCGCTTCTAAATATCTATCAAGACAAATGAGGCAATAGCGGCCTAAGGGAGATGAGAATGGGAGCTTTGAATAAACCTTTCAATGAGCAAAAATATGACATTGAATGCTTGAGTCGCTGATAGGGGAGCCCTTGTCTCTTTTGATTTGAAGACCTTTGCGCTTTCCCTTTGGCGGGCTATTCCTTATTTATGTCCGCGGATTCTCTTTCTTTATCTTCATCCGCCCCTACTCGTCTTTGCCCTGCCATTTCCAGTCATTTACAATGCCAGTGATAAAATAATAAGGAAGCCGGCTCATCTTTGATTCTAATGTGCCAATTCCTCTCTTCAATGAAAGATTGATCCGTCACTTCCCGAAGAAAAGGACTCCTAGAGTGTGAACCCAGGATCCGAGATGTGGAAACATTTGCCGAATCTACATAGGCCGAAGCCTATAAATATAAAATATAAATTGAATATTCTTGCTCCATCCGGAATGAATTTACCACCTACCTTGGGATAAGTGGTTGCCGGAAGCTTGAGACTTGAATGGTAATGACTTGAACACCCGATTCTGGTATTAATATAACTTAAGAAGTTCATCCCGTGAGGTAATCTATACCCGTGCTATAAGGAATATAAAAACGGACTTGTATTTATCTTTTATAGGATACTGGAAATGAGACTACAGTCAGAGTCCGGGTGTAAGCTCAAGTAGTGGTAGCTCTTTGAATAACTAACTAGATCTTTCATTCCTACCCACTAAGTAAAGGAGTCCAGTCTGAGTAGCTGGATCATCGAAAGACTTCCATTAGTGAATCGTTATAGCATTTTGTATCGATAGCGCTTCTTTTTGAGGAGATTCCGTCTTTGATCCATGCTTGCGATCTCGGTTGTGAAATTTTCATTTTCTTTTGGCTTGGTAATGGTTTTCTTTTTCCTTAGGGAATGAATGTTGTTCCTTTGTTTCATCGCATAGAAGTTTAGTTTTGCCCAAGTCTGAAGATAGACATAGATATGAATCATCCGCTGTGGAAGGAGATGCGGCACTTGCCATTTCATCCCTAGCCTTCGTCTCGTATAGGACATTAGTTCAGGTCAGCCCCTTGGTATGCTAAGATCAGTATCACGCGTAGGTGAATCATTAAATGAAGAATTTGCCAATTTTTTTTTGAGTTATCGAGTGTAAATCAATGTTATGCCTTTTACTACACCACACCTGCTACCCACTTTCTTTGTTATTGGTTCAAAAAAGCCTAAACATTCCTTTTCTTATTCTTACTCTGCTTCATCCTATGGCTGCTCTTTAATATGTTCTAAAACCGCCAACCCTTGTTGTTACTTATTCATCGGCGGAGGATAGAGCTTTTCTTTTTCTGCTTTCCTATGATATGGATTTGGTTGATTCTCCTGTGGTATCGACTGCCTTTGTTCGGCTGAGACTTCCGCGTCTGCGGATTCTCTAGTAGCTGCTCTAGCGTCTGCTTCGTCGGGTGCTGAATCGGATGCTTTATCTGCGCGGTTTGAAACTCTTTGGAAAAGAAAATGCTTTGCCCAGGAATTCTAGGTTGAAAGCCCTCTCTGACCAAAACCAGGAACGAAAGTCTTGATCCTAGGCTTTGGAATAAATCAAAAGAGCCCGAGCCGAGTCAGGATACAACGCATAAGTATAAGCTGCTAAAGCATCAGGCAGGGCAAAGGTACTTTCCAGACCTGAATCTACAAAAGATAGAACCTAAATAAGAAGCCAGGGAGGCCTTATGGTAGAAAAAAGGTATGCAGGGGTTCTGGGTCTATTATAACCAGAAGGGGGGAGAACGGATTTTGGGACGTGTCTGTCCCCTTCTGGTTATAATAGCTGGTAAAATGTACGACCTCCAACTGAACCTAGCCCAAAAGAGTGTAAGCGAGGGATTAAAAACCTAGTTGATAACTTATAAAGTCAAGTAGAAAATCTTATTCTATTTGGATTCCCAACATGCAGAAGTACAAAACCAATTCACATAGAAACTAGAGTGAGTTGGATGGAACCTGATGATCTTCGAGGCCGAAGGGAGCTAGAGTGGAAGCTGGCGCGGAGTAGGAGCTCCAGCTCGCAAGCCACCACAATATAGGAAAAAGAATAAGCAAGAGGAGAAGGATGTGTCTCAGGTGCGGAGACCTGTTTAGAAGGTGAACCAGCAGAGTCAGATGCAACCGGGCATGAAGCAGCAAGTGCTGTAGATCTGGTATAACTTCTTCTCGGATATGTTTGGTTAAGTGAGGTGGCGCAACAAGCCGAACCACATGGGTCGAGTACAAAGCAACCAAATATCCGGACTTCGGAGTCGGAATCATAATTCAAAAAAGGTTTTTGTTCGCTCCGCAGGCACGAACTAGTCGAGATGTATGTGGTGCCCTTTCTTTCATTCACATTGATTGGTGAGGTTGCTTGATTGTAGGGGCCGGGAAAGGGTCTGCCACCACTGACTCAGATTTTTTTGTAATCGATGTAGCTTCGTCGTCTGTCTCGGGATCGGTAGTGTTCCCCCATTCCTTAGTCTTCGCTTAAAGGATGTTGATGTTTCTTTTATTTAAGATACAATCTGTAAGTAAGTTACCAAAACTTTTTGTGTTGTAGACGGCGAAGAGTCAATAGAAATAGAATAGGAATCCCTAGAGAAGAGAGTTCCCGAAAGGAGAAGGGGAATTGACCAGTTCTGGAATTCACAACTACAAAAATAACATCCAATTTTAGCGGCAACCAAAGCGACTTTTGAACCTTTCTTAAGCTCAGAGCAGAGTAGCTGGAAGTCAAGTAGAAGAATGAGTCTAGCGACCAGGAAGCATAGATAGCAAAGGCGGAGATGGTACTTTAACAGTCGAAGGAGGATCATATGCTTATAACATGCAATTTGAAATCACGTACTTACCCCGGGGTTGCCCCGAATCCACTAATCAAATAGGTAATGTTGGCGAATCTTCTGATTATCGAGTTTCAATTCGACAAGTACCAACAGGCCGAAAAAGACGAAAAAAAGGCCTTGCATACTCGAGAAGTCAATAGCAACCACTCTTACTTATGATATTCTTTACTTTCCTTGTTAAGGTCCCGCGGTAAAGTAAAAAAAAAGCTATAAGTAGGCTCGCTATTGCGAGCTATACGAGCTGTTTGCCTTTATACGGCTTCGCTATAGCTCCTATGAAGTGGTGGGCGCCTTCTAGAAGCTTCGCCAGAAGCAAGATGAGGTCGCTCTCCTTCGCTCGTTCCGTACTTGACTTACGAGCTCGTGTAGTACTCGCCCCTATCTCTAAAGGGGCTTATGCACTCCACTCGCTGTCTACTAAACGAGCGTTAGAGCGAGCGAAGCCTTCCTTTTAGTTCCCCCCTTATCCCTCACCCTACTCTTTCATTTCCGCTTAAGCTTCCCCTGTTTGTGGGATTAATTGATTGGATACCCGAGAACCATAATCTTTACTAGGAACAGCTTCTACGACGATAGGCGTAAAGGCATGATTAGTTCCACAAATCTCACTGCACTGACCATAGTAAACCCCTTCTCGTTGTACCGAAATAGAGATCTGATTTAAACGACCAGGTACAGCATCACATTTGACACCTAAGGAAGGTACAGCCCAACTATGAGGTACATCAGCAGGTGTTACAATAATACGTATATGAGTTTTGGCTGGTACAACCACTCTATTGTCCACTTCTAATAAACGTGATTGACCCAATTCTAGATCATCTTCTGGAATCGTATAACTGTCAAAAGTGAGTGACTGTTCATCGGAACTGTTATAGTCTGAATACTCATAAGTCCGATACCATTGATGTCCAATAGCTTTGATAGTAATGGCTGGATCTACTACTACCTCGTCCATTGAGTATAACAGAGCAAATGATGGTATAGCAATGAACATCGGGATGATACTAGGAAATATGGTCCGAAGAATCTCGATAGTAGTTCCATGAACAATCCTTTGCGGGATTGGATTTTTTTGATAGTGGAAATGCCATAAAGCGCGAACCAAGATCCGTGATACGAAAACCAAAATCAGAATGAGGAAGAAAAAGATATCGTGATGTAAGTCTATTATTCCTTGCATCATAGGTGTTGCTGCGTCTTGAAATCCTAATTGCCATGGTTCCGCTGCATCACAAGAAGCTAAAGTATAAATAAGTTTGAAAGCCAGATAGGCGAGAATGAAGACTTTACAAAAATGCCCAACCTTTTCCTTTTTTAACCATTCGAATGCTTTTTTTAGGGATTCCATTTTCTTTTTTTCTTTCTTTTCTTGTTTCCGCTCCCCCCAAAAATGAAGAAAGACTTGTCGGAAATCGCCTTGCCTGAACGGTTCACTTCTCCTTTCTAGAAATGAATTCATTCTATTGAGTTGTGGTTGGTTGTTGACCAACAAACAGAAAGCATGGGAGAAAGAAAGATGCACAAACAAACGAAACTGGAAACAAGGAAGGTAGAAGGAGCTATATCAACTACCTAGACCGACCTGCTATAAAAATTCCATAAACACCTAGCAAAGATACTGTACTGAATGACTGGATCGATCGTACTAGATAGAGAGTCTCAGATAGACAACCTTTCATACGCAATTCCTCGATCCAATCTCGCAGGTCTGATCGCACCTTAGATCAAGTTGTAACCGAAGTAGACCAAGAAGGGAGTGGAATGATGATGACCGGGCACTCTCTTGGATCTCTTTTCTACGCTCAGATCCACCACTCTCCTGTTGGCTACCTTGTTACGTCCTCTCCCCTCAGATAGGGAACCTCGCTAACCTTCTCGGCCAGCTACTCTAACCCTAACCACTGGGATCCCCTCCTGCCGGACTACCTGTCCATTCATTAATGGAATGCCTGAAGGGCAGAGACTTGAGTCAAGATAGACTTGTTTTCTTTTTCTTGAGTCCTCTCGCCTGAAACCGGCCTTCAACTGCGGAAACTGTTATTGCGGCTGTGGCTGGTAGAGAAGGTGAGAACCACCAGTAGGTCGATCCTCGCCCGTTATCTCCTAATCTTCCTAGGTTCCAACCATTTTTATATTCGTCACTAATCCTGTTGACCTTGCTCGGTGTGTTATATTAACATTTTCTTTGTCTTATACTCGGTTCGATTGACGTTTTTCGTGAAAGTGGGTTTGTATCTAGGGAGTCGAGCCCTATGTTCTTTTTTACTTAAGATTGGGTGATCCGGTGGTCTGGCCTTGGCCATTGTTTTTGCTGTGCGATCCCTCCTAACTGCCGAGGACATGCCCTCTCTGTGGAGGCAAAACGTCCTGCCCTCGTCTTTCTCACATCAATCAGACTCAGATCAATGCCAATCCTGTGAGCATCTTCTTCGAACCTCGACTTTGAGTTCCTTTATCAGCCACTCCTTTCTCTTTTTTTTTCTTCTGTGCTATTCAGTTAGCCCCCTCGTCCTATAGTGAACCTTTCCACTCTTCTCCTTCTTGCTAAAGATCTGGCAGAAAGGTTTAACCAAGGAAGTCTAAACAGGTAATAAGGTTTGAAGAGCTCACTCGTTAGAGAGTGAGGAGCAGGGATGATTTGAAATCTTGTTTTCACACCAACCCAATCTCTATAAAGAAAAGAAAACTATAGGATCCAGGTTAGTTTCCCAATCCAACGGATCGTAACCTTGGGGCGACCTCCTAACTAAGGTTATCATAGATAAGGGGAGCACGCCGGTCCCCCCACTGTGCTGGCTAGTTAGTAAACTAGGATGTTGCTGAGCAAACTAGCCAGGTAATGGTCACTTTCACAATCATCCTTTCATGGTCTTGTCTTGGAAGCAAGTTGCCCGAACGTAGCAACAACCGTTTACACGCCATAGCTATTCTATTGGCTCGCCTTTCATCGCTACTCGGAACCTCTGGCTGAAATGAATGACTTCAAAGGGCCAATCTCAGGTAACAATTATGCTGATACTTTGGTAGCTAAACTCACCATGGAATGAGGGACCGTACTCGTCTTAGAGCTATTTCGACTTATTCAATTGAAAAAAGAGCACTTCCTTATCTTACCTAATCAAACCTGATTAGCCGCATCGGGAAATCTAGGGGTTTATCGGTCAAGGTATTCAATCTCTTTTTTCGGAGTTTTCCGGGTTAAGTTAGGAGGGCTAAGGACAGGGAGAAAGAACGGCCAGGGGAAGAAGGAAGGTTGGATAAGTGTATGGAAAAGGGACATCGTTCTTTCGAGTGTACTCGCCGGAGACGGGCTGTCGAAGCCGCTGATGCTTGACAGCGCCTCAAAACCCCCGGAATGCCCTGGAGGGGGCCTTTGGTAAGAACATCACCAAAATGTGGCGTTTCCAACACTGACTTTGAGGGGCGCATGGAGCACCACCAACTCTATCAACCTCTTTTCTTAGACGATAGGTGAGACTGAATTTTAGATTCATAAACAAACTTACCCGTTGAAGCACAGGAGCGAAATGGATAGAATTCATTAACTATCATACGACGCGATGGGACTCAAGCTTTAAGTGAGAGGGGTGCCCTTACGTTACGGCGTTTAGCTGCTTCAAAGCAACCTGTTTTCGATATCTCGGACTGATCCTTATATAGACGAACATATACGCTAGCCACGAGCTGTAGTAGTAAGCAAGAGGTTGACCAGTGTGAAAAGTCAAACTGGATCCCATCCGATTAGGTGAAGCTCCCTTGTCTTGTACAGAAGCTGGAACCTCGCCTACCTTAGGAGTCAAATAAGATAAAAGCTCGTCAATCTCCCACTGAATTCTCATCTCATAATGGAAGAAATTGGATAAAGAAATCCTCTCTCAGTCATAAAGAGAGGGCTGGCTAATGCTATCCATTCCAGTGGAAAGGGGTAAGGGCGATTTCAATTGCATCACCTCAGAGATTCTTTCTTATTAGAGAGAATAGCTTGTAAGCACATCAGCTAGTCTGAAGCCCTTGTCTTTCTAGTCTCTTCTTTCGATACTCATAAAGTCCTTCTCTTTGAAAAGGACAGAAGAAGAAGTACTCAGTCATACTCTTTGATTTATACGAGTAGGAGATTCGATCTTGGGCATCTTACGGATGTGGAGTCAGAGGATAGCCTTTTTGATTCATCCCTTGCCGCCATACCTAGTGAAAGTAAGTCATCAGTCAGTAGCGAGCCGAGCCTATTAGCAATTTTAGCCAAGGACCGATCTCTATCTCTTATATATTCAAGGCTATTTCTTTTATCAGACTGAAGGTGCCTCACACGTCCTACTCCATCATGGGGAGTTGGCTAAATAACTCCGTAAGCTCCTTTAATAACTAGAGTGATCGTCCCTCTTGAAAAGAGAGTGATAGTGATGAGCGATTCCTTTGTCCCAATTAATAGGCTTCCCTTAGCGCCTTAGCGCATAGGGACAGACAGGTAA